TGCATGCTAACCCTATGTCTTAAACTATTCACTGTTCATAGTGATACTTAAAGCATTCTCTGAGGAATACATTCCACACAGAATGTCAACTAATGGTTATGGAAAAGAAGCACTCAAATTTGTTTCATAAATTCTTAAAGGTGTGTTGATGTATATATATAATCTACAAACTATAAGGCTTCTTCTCTGTTACTGTATTTCATAGGTGTATTAGTTCTTTTGTTGTTGTTTTTTCTTTTTTTAGGGGGGAGCAGGATGTGCAAGAGTAGTTGAATATATTTGTCAGTTGTTCATTGTGTGTAATATGTTTCACTGAACAGTATCAACACAACATAAGAAAACTGTCATGTCATTAATATAATGGTGTTAGTATTTTTGCCTAACATTCAGCTGAAAAAATACCATTCATTCTCTCTCTCTCTCTCTATATATATATATATATACTCACTGTGTACAGGCGTAACACTTTCTCCTGCTGCATTTTGCTGTAGAAATGCCCCTGACTGGGAACCATGATAATAGTCTCTTGATCCAAAAAAAGCCCTATAACCTGTAAAACACATAAATTAAGCTGTATTCAGATTTCTCTTGAATGTTTTGGACATTTACATAAAGTTACAAAAAGGCTATCTTCATTAACACCATCTTCTAATTTAGAGCTAACAGACTAAAGGGAAGGCAACATTCAACAGCACCCACTGTCAATTCTTTGGCTACTCTAATCATATAGTGGGATTTGACAATCACTCTTATAATGCTCCCACGGCCCAAAGGTATGAAGAACAAATTTTGAGCAACAGTCCAGGCATACTAACTACTAGACCAGGCATACTAACTACTAGACCATGCATACTAACTACTAGACCAGGCATACTAACTACTAGACCATGCACACAATGTGTTCGTAGAGGAAGTCGTGACAGAATGGCTTTTTTAATTAAATGTATTGGAGAAAGAATGTGGAATACAATACTGAATTTACTATGTGTATCTACATGAAATGTGGTAAGCTTTAGAATAGTAGTTACAAATATGTGTTACCAGTGTTTGTACTCAAGATATGTCCGTGAATTGATGACATCACTCTGATTCAGACTCTGACAAGTTGGAGTAAAAGTGATGTTCAGGTGAAGAATGAAAATACTTTTACCTATTTTACAGTTTGCATATCACATCTGCATAGCCTCTAGTCTCAAAATTCATATCTGCAAGTTTTCTTTCAGTATTCCTGTATACTACATCTGGTGTTTACTTTCCACTATCATGAACTGTTGTTAAATCAGTAGTGTAAAGTAAGACGAGTAGTTGATAACTCTGAGATTAAATACATAATACTATGTTGAATGGCACTCTGTAAAAGCTTTTGGATGCACTTTGACTCCCATAGGAATAGTGTAATATTGTTCACATTAATGTTTACCCATGTGCACATATCTTTTCAAAGATCCATAATATAACCAAGGTTTTAAAGAAATAAATACGTTTGTTGTTAAACTACAGACTTGTTCACACTTCTAGAAATCAACCAAACTTACAGGTTTAATTTACAAAATACCATATACTTTATAAAGCACCCCTGTACTTGCAACAGAATTTTTAGCATATCTTTCTATAACAGACTTTGGTCAACTACAAGTTTATAAAGTGGCCATATTCTTTCCAAAATTGGCTTTTTCTGACTTTATAGACAAAACTTGAGATCTATCAGGACACTTGTCACACCAGTATTTCTTCTTTTCCTTTTCTAATGAACACAACTTTAGCTTGTAAGCTGGTTATAAATGGTAATATAACTTTTAAAACACATTTACTTCAGGAACATAGAAATATAAGCTGAAATACCCGTCAACTGACGGGGAATATTTAAACTTAATTAAAACAATGTAAGTTTAACAGCAATTATATATTTCAGAGTAATAACTTGAACATAAACTTTATCTCAACATTTTACAAATATAACAAAGCTTCTTCATAAACAACATTTGCAGTTTTCTTTCCATCTACCAACAGATAAAGATTTTGAGGTGATCCCACCCTTGAACATCCTACATGAGAAAAGCGTGGTTGTTTGAGAAACAGTCCAGCAACTTTCATACTTTGACCTTGAATCCCTTTAGAATATTCAACATTATCAAACATGTGAACATGCCAATATTGTTTGAGATTGATTCAATAGGCTGGGAATAATTAACCAACAGGTTTTACAAAATACAAATAGGGTTCAGTTTTTTTTTGTTGGGGGGGGGGGGGAGATGATGACGACATGATTTTCCTCTTTCTCTAAATTTTCTATTTTTTCCAGGTTCATGTTCATGATAATTTAGAAAAAACAATGTAATTTCAGAAAAAATAGAGTAACACTTTTGTTTAATTATTTTGTGGGATAATTTGGTATAATCATTCCAATGGGGAAAGGACTAACACTAACATTTAAAAGACATTTTGAAAATAGCAAATTACTACTTAATAGATATTACAATTTAAACATCATTCTCTGTAAAATTGCAACTCACCTATAAATATTGCTGCTAATGTCCCAATAATTGAAAGTGTAGTACAAAACCAAGATTGATAGCTTTCCCACACCACCTGCAAAAGGCTGTGCCATCCCACCCAACCACGAGGCAATGGCTGACACTGAACTAAAGGGAGAGAAAAAAAAGTTTATGCATACAAATAACTGTAGGTCTGTAAATCATTATCTATTCAGTTCAGTTACAGAAGGAGCAACTTAAAGTAAACAACTAACTGCAAATTAAACAACAAAACAAAACTATATAAATACCTTAAGCTATAGGCATCATAATCATCTTTGCTTTCTATTTACAAGTAAAGCAGTAAAAGATTTAGTTCAGAACAGTAAATTTTTACATACAGATAGCAACATGCAACATACAAACTACCAAGCTGTACACTGGTTTGTTAAAATATCATCAGTATCAAGTTTGGGATCAACAAATTCTTACAGTTTCTTTCTCTCTGTCCAATTAACTTGAGTTTTACAGGAATAATCTTCTTTTGTTTAGTTATGGAACACTCCAACTGAACATGTAGAGGGGTAATCAGTGTTTCCACTTCCCAGAGACTAGAGATATCTCGAACACGCACAGTAAACAACAATGTGTGTGGAACCTGGGCATCTGATTCTGGTGGAAGTACCTCCAAGATATTTGTGTCACTTGGTAAGGCCTGTATACCCAAAGAAAAACATTTAAAATATCTGTTTAACACACAAATATAATGTATATCTTAGTATAATATTTCATAACTTAACAATCATTGTAAAGAAAACAACATTAGAAGATTTTGCATCTGTTTTGATACAGAATTAAATCAGATACCCCCCCACAAGTTAATCAGCAAGGCAACAGTGAAAATAGAGCTTAACAGAAATAATACAAAGATAAGAAAGTAAGGTAAAAGCCTTCTTTTCTTATGTTAATACCCTATTTTAGTACCAAACTAAGCTCTATAATTTTAAGTGTCTTGATAATGCTCATTATCAAATTGTATCAACTCTCTGTGAAATTCTTTGGGCTCAGAGTATGGAAAGGGAAGTTCCACAATTTCTGTAAATCAAAAACTGATGAAATTTGAATGAGTTCATTAACTGCAGAATTAAACAGAAATGTATCCTGAGATAAACATTTACAGAATCCATGACAATCAAAACATTAGAGTGGACAGATATCTTTTCCTATGACGAATTGTAAAGCTATTTTATATTGTGCTCATCAAATGGAAATTTCTGACTGGTGATAACTATTCAACATTTATGTAACAAAAGTTTTTCTTCTGAAATTGCCGATGTACACATAGAACTATCATTACCACAAAATTCTTACAACTAGTAACAAATCTACGGTACACATAAAAAAAAAAGTTGTGGATTTTGTGTAAATCATATTTTTATCATCATGAAAGTCTAGTACACTGTATAACACTACTGTTCAATAAAATGTTCGCTAAAATAAAAAATTGGCCTAATGGAGCAGTCCCGACACAATGTTTACTCTTCAATGAAATGTTCACTAAAACAAAAACTTCATTGATTGATGTCTTAATTCTATTGTATACTAGATATATTTTGATCTGTGAGAGTTTTAAAACATTGTTTAATTCCTATTAATTCTAAAAGACTTCCATCAAATGTGTGTGTGTACTTTCCAGCAACTAAAACGTATTTCATAACCATAATTTCTTCAAAATATTGCTAATAACTTTCACTTGAAACTGCATAAATTTATTTGGATTTTTTATTAACCTTAAGATCACAGCGATAATTGTTTGATAGTAACAAATTAGGAAGCTAAGAAATGACCTTCTTCTGGCCTATTTTTGCATACCATAAATTTTCCCACTTTTATTCACTAATCGACACTTTTTTTTTTTGACTATGTAAAAATTTGTATTAAATTTATTTGTCAATTGTTTTTTTTTATCAAAAGAGGGAGATGTCAGAATTTTTCCTTTAAACTACTTAACTTTTTAAAAGTCCATGGTCTTTGTTACTTAAATGTTTGTTAAATTATGACTAGATGGTTCTTTAATCTAACTGCTCTTGAAACTGTATATAGTGTAGTATATTACCGTACAATGAAATATATCTGCTCAATATTTTATATCAGTACCATTAATTCCACCAGCATAAAATCTGAAATTATTTGAAACAAGGCCTAGTGTTCAAGCTCTGCCAGTAATCAAACCATCAAAATAGTGTTAAGTACTATTAAATCAAGTTGACTCTACCATTAACACTGGGAAAAAAATTGTCAAGAAAAAGTAGGCATACTGTCACAACTTGCAAAATGTGCAGCATTTTTTACTTGGAAGATATAAAAATGTTTTTATATCTTCTGAATTGTCATACCTTCTTTACATAATTAGTGTGTAGGTCTTTAAACTTGAAATAAGAACCCATGGAATCAGAATAGGGTGACACTGATGCTTGAACCTAAGGGTCCTACAGGCACAGTTTACTTAAAACTGATTACGAAGTATGGTTTCAGTTGTAGGCCTTAATAAAATATAGACATATCTGAAATGTCAAGTCTAAAGACTACACTAGTAAAATACAACTTTTCTTCATTCAATTATGTTGGGATATAATAACAACATCTCACGTTTTTTCAACTTTATTGACTTCAAAAAGTTAACATTTTCCTAATGTTTCTCTACACACATTAAAGATGTCTTCCCCATTCACCTGGCTAAGAGATTTGCACGCCACTAGCCTATAGGCAACTCCAACATAATTTCACATGTTCTAATATGAACTGTATTGATGCATGTTGATTTCATGCAACAAAAGCCCTCCACCCTATGCACTTATACTCATGATAACTTCATTCTTTGATGAAGCAAGACAAAAATGTGCACTGGAAGTGGGCATGTATGTATTGGAAATAGATTTTCAGATTAGGAAAATGTTAGTTTTCGAGACAATAATGCAACTCTGTACACACAGGAAAGCTAGAATCCCTCACTAAATTGCTGTTGGGGCCAGTGCTAAATATTACCAGGATGAGCTCCCTTCAAAAAGCACCTAAAGGGAAGGCCAGGGGGTATGACTTCTGATGGCTCCTTAGGAATATTTGCAAAAGAATATTTGGAAAAGAGGCAAATGAGCCCTATGTGTTGCAGGAACAAATGTAATATGAACATGATCAACCCAGCACTTGCACTCGAGCGATTGGCAAGACAATATGTGTAATGTGGTTGGGACATGTTCAGATGGTTGGCAAAACAATATGTGTAGTGTGGTTGGGACATGTTCAGACTGTTTGGCAAGACAATATGTGTAGTGTGGTTGGGACATGTTCAGACAGTTTGCAAGACAATATGTGTAGTGTGGTTGGGACATGTTCAGATGGTTGGCAAGACAATATGTGTAGTGTGGTTGGGACATGTTCAGACAGTTTGGCAAGACAATATGTGTAGTGTGGTTGGGACATGTTCAGACAGTTGGCAAGACAATATGTGTAGTGTGGTTGGGACATGTTCAGACAGTTGGCAAGACAATACGTGTAGTGTGGTTGGGACATGTTCAGACAGTTGGCAAGACAATATGTGTAGTGTGGTTGGGACATAGACAGTTTGGCAAGACAATATGTGTAGTGTGGTTGGGACATGTTCAGACAGTTGGCAAGACAATATGTGTAGTGTGGTTGGGACATGTTCAGACTGTACCTTGTTTGCTCATCTCAACTCTACTGGATAGGCTCTGGCTGCACGAGTTATGTATTATGGTGCCATATAGTGTGTGCTCACACCTCAACTCTACTGAATAGGTGCCAGCTAAAGGAGGAGAGCACATTAGTTTTATATCATCTTTGCTGTATTTTGTGTGTTGTGATTTACAGTGACACACACTACATTGACAATATCACTGCCACCTCACTTCTCATCGTTTTGTACTAAGTCCAACCTGTGAGGATTTTCTATGGTCCATCACCCCAGTGGTTAGGAACTGGTAAGTGGCAAGGGTCTCCCATGCTCCATTTGAAGAGAGGGGCAATTCATGTTGGGCAGACCTGGATAAGTGCCCGGATCAGACTTCCAGCCAGAAAGATCTTGCTAGAGACAATGCAAAGGGTGACTTGAAACCCAATTTTTAAAAGCTAGTAAGTACAAGCCAAAGAAATGGGTAGAACATTTTCCTGGTGCTTGCATTATTCATGATAGTCGACGGAATAGATACAGCCTGGATTTAACAATTGAGTAAATATATATATATACCATGAGGATTCTTTAAGTGGTCTTGCAGAACACCCAATTTCAACAGTAGACACTGGTAGAGCTACAACAGAGGATATAAGCACTTTCCATTATCCTGGCTTGATGCAGATTGTGGTTAAGTACACCCTGGGATGCAACACCAGCCACCTGACAGGATCCTATGTAAATAAACAGGGGCTCTGAAAAAGAAACTGTACGTATTCTTCTTCAAGGTGGTGAGGAGACTGAACAATGGTGACCTGTAAATGCTGATATCCATCAGGAAACAAAGCAGCCAGTGTAGATAGGGAGAGATGAATATCTGGAGAGTCACCCAAATACCCACCTGAAGAATCTCATCCTTAGGCCAGCAAGAGAATGAGAAAGGTGATGAATCAAATGCGAAGAAATGTGAAATAGCCCGTAAGCATCCACATCCAGAGATAAACATACCAACCAAAGGAATCAACAAATCTAACCAGTAAGGTAGAAGAAGAGTGGTCACTGGAAGAAGATGGGTCCCAGTATAAGGACAGATGAAAGTGGGGAACCCAAAAAAAAGGAAAAGTCTGTGATAAGGAACTGAACAGTATAAACAGGACACAGGATCTGGTCCAGGTCTGAATGATGGAAGAAGTGATAGACAGGGACAAGAGTATGTAAGTGCAAGGGAAAAGGGTGTGAGAAGTATCCATGGCAAAGATATCCAAAAGATGGTAATCATAGGTGAGAAGATGAAAGAAAGAAGCCCAGAGGAAAAAACAGAACAAAAAGCAAGAAGCCAATGGCTCCAATGGGGCATGTGTGAAAACATGCAAAACCCCACTAAGGTCTCAGTCAAGAGAGGAAGTTGGAGGGGAAAGAAGAAGCAAAGTAGTGGAGAGGAAAGGGAAAAAAAATATCTTGTGGTATTAGCAAAGGCAAAATGCCACGGACAAGGCCACCCGACAACTAGTAAAGTCAGAAAGGAGTAAAGGAGTGGCAAATAGACCAATGACATGCCACTGTTGTTGATAGATAAATACAGTGGAAAGGAGACGGAGTGTGACAAAAAGAATGCCACAAAAGAGGAAAGTTCAGTTCGACAGGCAGTGAAGTAGACAGCAAATCCCAGGTGTGAAGATATCCTTTTGACAAAATAGGGATGTGAGAGGGTGATTCAAGAGAGAGAGGATATTGGGTAGAGAAATAGGGGGGTGGTGGTCTGACTGCTAAGTGAGCCAAAGCTTAGCTGACCAAAGAAGCACCAAAATAGGACCCAACAAGGAGAGTTGCGTGTCAAGATGAGGATCCAAGGATGGGAATAGGCATATAACAAGAGGCCTAGCTGAGAGCATCAACATGCAGTCAAAGGATGAGTAACACAGAGTTGAAAAGGGTGGTAAAGGTGTTTATGAGTGGCATGTCCAACCAAGAGCAAACCCACCAAAAGACCTGTGGGTGTAGAGATCACTGGCTGATAAAGAGGCAGT